CGGCAAACACCTTTAAAAGCATAGAATATCTTGCTATCCCGATCTTGACGTCAGTAACCGGCATCAACTGTATACAAAAATCTGTGCCTTTCCCATTTGTACGTTTTAAGAACAATAAACATGACAAAAAATTAATAGCAAAAGTTAATGTAAGTTCCTTTGCACACGGTTTTAGGTCATACAAGGTATAGAATATTGCTGCCTTTTTACATTGCACATTGTGATCAATACCATGCAACTCGGTGGTATTCAGAATTGTGTATTAGACAACCACCGTAGCAGGTCGCATTGGAATCGAGGCACAATCATTTAAAATGGTATCCGAGCAAGAATTAAAGAGAAACAAATCGTTATTGGTGGGTCAATTTGGAAATTGCTAAAATGTAGAGATTTCATATTCTACAGCTTATTTACATGAATAAGAATGACATGTCATTGTCAACACAGTGTAGATCTCTAATACAATTTTGATATTTCATGATTTTGTAACGTACAGAATGAAGAATATTCCGAAAGCTTTAAAATCATAAAAAACACATCAAGGGTGATAAATACATCTCTGTAACACTGACAAGTGTTTAATATTATTTGTGTGAATTGGAAGATAATGTTGAATACTACCTGAAGTAACAGATGTTTTCTCTAAATTACCGAACTGTAATTGTTGGTAAATATAAACATGACAGCCGATCACTAATGACCATATGTTGTTTTACTAAATTTCCGAACTGTAATTGTTGGTAAATATAAACATGACAGCCGATCACTAATGACCATATGTTGTTTTACTAAATTTCCGAACTGTAATTGTTGGTAAATATAAACATGACAGCCGATCACTAATGACCATATGTTGTTTTACTAAATTTCCGAACTGTAATTGTTGGTAAATATAAACATGACAGCCGATCACCAATGACCATATGTTGTTTTACAAAATTTCCGAACTGTAATTGTACACCTGGTATATAACAGCATGACAGCCGATCACTAATGACCATATGTTGTTTTACAAAATTTCCGAACTGTAATTGTACACCTGGTATATAACAGCATGACAGCCGATCACTAATGACCATATGTTGTTTTACTAAATTTCCGAACAGTCATTGTATATCTAGATTTATCAACATGACAGCCTATCACTAATGACCATATGTTGTTTTACAAAATTTCCGAAATGTAATTGTACACCTGGTATATAACAGCATGACAGCCGATCACTAATGACCATATGTTGTTTTACAAATTTCACTAATGACTAATGATTTATCAACATGACAGCCTATCACTAATGACCATATGTTGTTTTACAAAATTTCCGAAATGTAATTGTACACCTGGTATATAACAGCATGACAGCCGATCACTAATGACCATATGTTGTTTTACAAAATTTCCGAAATGTAATTGTACACCTGGTATATAACAGCATGACAGCCGATCACTAATGACCATATGTTGTTTTACTAAATTTCCGAACAGTCATTGTATATGGTATATAACACATGACAGCCGATCACTAATGACCATATGTTGTTTTACATTTCCGAAATGTAATTGTACACTGGTATATAACAGCATGTTGTTGTTTTACAAAATTTCCGAACTGTAATTGTACACCTGGTATATAACAACATGACAGCCGATCACTAAAGACCATATGTTGTTTTACTAAATTTCCGAACAATTGTATTATTTATCAACATGACAGCCTATCACTAATGACCATATGTTGTTTTACAAAATTTCCGAAATGTATATAACAGCATGTACACCTGGTATATAACAGCATGACAGCCGATCACTAATGACCATATGTTGTTTTACAAAATTTCCGAAATGTAATTGTACATGGTATATAACAGTGACAGCATCACTAATGACCATATGTTGTATATAACAGTCATTGTATATCATGACAGCAGCCTATCACTAATGACCATATGTTGTTTTACAAATAACATTGACCATATGTTGTTTTACCCAGTCCGAAATGTAATTGTACACCTGGTATATAACAACATAAAAGCCGATCACTAATGACCATATGTTGTTTTACTAAATTTCCAAAATGTAATTGTACACCTGGTATATAACAACATAAAAGCCGATCACTAATGACCATATGTTGTTTTACTAAATTTCCGAACAGTAATTGTATATCAGATTTATATAACAACATGACAGCCTATCACTAATGACCATATGTTGTTTTACATTTCCGAACTGACAGCATGACAGCCGATCACTAATGACCATATGTTGTTTTACAAAATTTCCGAACTGTAATTGTACACAGCTGACAGTATTTTATAAATTTCCGAAAGTAATGACAGCCGATCACTAATGACCATATGTTGTTTTACAAAATTTCCGAAATGTAATTGTACACCTGGTATATAACAGCATGACAGCCGATCACTAATGACCATATGTTGTTTTACTAAATTTCCGAAATGTAATTGTATATCTGGTATATAACAGCATGACAGCCGATCACTAATGACCATATGTTGTTTTACAAAATTTCCGAAATGTAATTGTACAACTGGTATATAACAGCATGACAGCCGATCACTAATGACCATATGTTGTTTTACAAAATTTCCGAAATGTAATTGTACAACTGGTATATAACAGCATGACAGCCGATCACTAATGACCATATGTTGTTTTACTAAATTTCCGAAATGTAATTGTATATCTGGTATATAACAGCATGACAGCCGATCACTAATGACCATATGTTGTTTTACAAAATTTCCGAAATGTAATTGTACAACTGGTATATAACAGCATGACAGCCGATCACTAATGACCATATGTTGTTTTACTAAATTTCCGAACTGTAATTGTACAACTGGTATATAACAGCATGACAGCCAATCACTAATGACCATATGTTGTTTTACAAAATTTCCGAAATGTAATTGTACACCTGGTATATAACAGCATGACAGCCGATCACTAATGACCATATGTTGTTTTACTAAATTTCCGAACTGTAATTGTATCACTAATGACTATGTTGTATATAACAGCATGACAGCCGATCACTAATGACCATATGTTGTTTTACAAAATTTCCGAACTGTAATTGTACACCTGGTATATAACAGCATGACAGCCGATCACTAATGACCATATGTTGTTTTACTAAATTTCCGAACTGTAATTGTACACCTGGTATATAACAGCATGACAGCCGATCACTAATGACCATATGTTGTTTTACTAAATTTCCGAACTGTAATTGTACACCTGGTATATAACAGCATGACAGCCGATCACTAATGACCATATGTTGTTTTACTAAATTTCCGAACTGTAATTGTACACCTGGTATATAACAGCATGACAGCCGATCACTAATGACCATATGTTGTTTTACTAAATTTCCGAACAGTCATTGTATATCTAGATTTAACAAAATGACAGCCTAGCACTAATGACCATATGTTGTTTTAAACATGACAGCCTCTATCACTAATGACCATATGTTGTTTTACAAAATTTCCGAAATGTAATTGTACACCTGGTATATAACAGCATGACAGCCGATCACTAATGACCATATGTTGTTTTACTAAATTTCCGAACTGTAATTGTACAACTGGTATATAACAACATGACAGCACATCACTAATGACCATATGTTGTTTTACTAAATTTTCGAACAGTCATTGTATATCTAGATTTATCAACATGACAGCCTATCACTAATGACCATATGTTGTTTTGCAAAATTGTCAAGCCCTTGGTTAATCGCAAAAACCGAACAATAACAAATATTAACTTTACCATATTTCCATACCATATTTAAATTTCAATATGCGGATGCGTTTACTTAATTGGCAGTATGTTGCTGGTGATCCACATTTGCTTGTCGGCGTTTGTGATTGGGCAATTGCGCGCCGAAAGAAGAACACCTTGTACATTTGAAGAGCTGAAAACCACTCTCACAATAGGATATCACTCTAACGGAAACAACCAGTCCACACCGTTGCCATTACTTGATAAAATGATCAGAATCATACTGATCCGATTGAATTGTGAACAGCGCTATAAATCACTGTTACATAAGCAAACCCATGATCATCATAAACTACCCCACTTGAAGAGTCTACCGGCAACATATGAAGAGGTAAGACTTAGCATTTTGTCGTTAAATATTCATCATAGACTTCTCTACCTGAAGTGTCTACCGGCAACATATGATGAGGTAAGGCATAACGTTTTGTTATCAAATATTCATCATGGACTACTCCGCTTAAAGAGTCTTCCAGTAACATATGATGAGGTAAGGCATAACGTTTGGTTGTTAAAGGATATCACTAACTAATGTATTGTAACATTCACATTTTACGCTTGATACATGTCTGGTTAAGTACACACTACCAAAGCCTGTTGCACTATAAAGGTTGCCTTATCGCAGTAAAATAAAAAAAAAATGAAATAAAATATTGTTCAATAACGTCACGAAAGAAAATGGACTGCTTGTCTGTCAAAAGTCAAAAGTCAGACTAACATTTAAGATATGTTTTTGTCATAATCATGATTAAACTTTGCATTTAGTGAATCTTATCCGAATAATGTAATGGTCCTGTGACATGGAGAAATGAAGGCTATTTCTTGAAGACAAAATGAAGAAATATCATAACATGTAACAATTAAATTATTGAATCTAAATAGGAAATAATTAGACAGTTAAGTTTGCTATATCAAATCGTCCTTTTCCTACCAATGCTTACATGTGGAAACAAAATGCTACTCATAAGTCCATATATATACTTATACTTTAACTGCGGATTATTTGCACACAGAAATGTCTGATATTATTGTTTGCTAATATCCCATAAAAAACAATTAGCAAGTAAGCAACATCAACTGATACTAATTGAACATTTGCCTTTCAGTATTTGGACCAATCACATGTAAAGAATTTCGTCGTGAAAAACGCAAGATCACATGAAATGACTGAAGACACGTTTATTGCAATGGCTGCCACCATTCTGACTGTTGCTATAAACTTTGAATGTTTTGTTGGCCACGCTTTGCCCTCAAACGATCTCACAGCAGCAGACTTTCTGTTGGAATACAATCTCGAGCACAATCTAAAGATGTTAAATCTGCACTATATTCGTCATAGAAATGGCGACAAAATGGAGCGAATGAGTTATACCAATCGACTGCAAGTATGTAATCACCAGTGGCGTTTACAAATATACAAATTTACTATCAAAGGTGGGCTAGTTATTAGGGGAAAGGCGAAATGAATACCTGTTAGACCAAACGTGAGAGAACATGGGGAGATCCTTACATGACATGGGCTGGCAACAGTTAGGGGCGTGTCAAAAGGAGACGCCAACAGAGAAGTAAACTCAGAAAGAAACAGTATACTGAAAATAAAGAAAAGCTTAAATATCACAGTGCTTTAAGAGTAGATCAATAATGATATCATTAGTGTCCTGTTAGAAGACACAAGTGAAGATCTATCTTCCGATGTGTTGAGGTGTGGATGGAGGCACCTGTAATAATTTACAGTGGGTACTGAACTTTATAATCTGAGGTTTTCCATAGTTCACTTCACCGGGGTCAACAGTAAAACAATTTCAAATTATGTCGGGGGTGTTAGGTTTTCAATATTGAGTCAAAACTTACTGCGATAATACTTTGATAAAACAGGCGTATCATTACCTACTATTGCAATGTTAAATACATCATAAGATGTGATTTTCAGTATTCAATATTACTTAAATATTTGACGCGTATTAACTTCACAGTGCCTGAATGTCAGGAAAATATTAGAGGGGATACAAAAGGAATTAAAGATTCACGGTCATGATCATGATGTACATCAGAGTGGTAGTCATACCCACATCAATGGACCACCTCCTCATCATAGTAAACCGCACGGGAAGAAAGCCAAGACTGACCAGCAAATCAATTCACCACCTATACACATATTCCAAAGTTACAAACCCAACCATCCATACCAGCCCAAAAGAGAAACAAATGTTTTTGAAAATAACGTTGATAACAGGAAGGAGACTCAGTACGATTATACAGCAGAACGTATTAACAAAACTGCACATGTATATGATACAGAGGCAAAAAGGAAAAAGATATCAAAATTCAGTACAATAAATTCAAGAAAAACACCAAACAGTGACAGTAAAAGTCCAGGAATTGGACGGCACGTGACGAAGTTCCTGGAAAAGGGAAACGTTCTGCACGATAATGTGCAACCACACAGTGAGCATACACCTAGCGCCAAAAATAATTCGTCTCTAAATGTTAATTATCCTCACAACAGTGACGCTAATAAGAACTCATTGGCATCAACTCACTCTCTACACAAACATAATCAAGCTCACCACAAAGACCATGGACTTTTGCAATCCTTGAATGTTACAACGCCCAGGACGTCTATCGTACATCACACACCTCACAATCGACCTCCTAACCATCACCAAGCGCATAATCACCTGCACCCATCATCTGTGATTCAAACGACAACGTCTATTGACACATCAAGGACAACTTATCATTCAACACGAACTCAACATTTGACGCCAACTGTGCGACCGCCACAAACTCATCAACCACGACCAGATGAACTCCTACAACTTGATCATCGTTTAAAATGCCTGAACATCGATGGTAAAAGATTAAATTCAAGGCGTCTATACACAACACAAAGACAACAAATTGAAAATTCTTTCGCAACCATAGCAATGGCAATTATCCAAGGTATGAACAACTCTTTTATTGGTTGTTTGATTAACATAAATTAAACCATATTGGCTGATAACGCGATCGATGAATCTTTCAGATCGGGGACATCTCTGCTTAACTCTACCTCAATTACACATTTGATAATATATTGCTTTAATTAAGTTGTTTACTGTTAGATTTTAGTTTTTCCCTTACTAACAATGTTCAATATCGAACGTATCGAGGTTTTCCTCTTGAATTGTATTTAGCCCTGACTTACTTTCTAGGTTATAGACTGCAAGATAATGATTTGCCCTGCCCGGTAGAGTTTCTGCGGGATATTTTTGATAGATATGCGGAGAAGGGCAAGCTGCACTCATCTGGTAAGGCTATCATGAATCTTCCAGTATCTTTTGTTTCAGATTGCTTTCAAACTTTTACATTTCTCAAAAAAAAAAAAATAAATAAAAAAAATAAAATAAAAAAAAAAAAAAAAAAAAATAGAAAAAAAAATTCTCGAAAAGTTGAATTTGATGATTTTGCATTAAAGCATATCGAATAAATACTTTCGAACTATTTTACTCCTTATTCGAAAGCATTCTTTTCAGATTAATGTATGCGCCCAGCCCATGATTGTCCGTAACAAACATCACAAACCATTTGTTTGTTTTTATAGACATTGTTTTATCGAAATATATGAAATAAAGAATTACTAACTTTGTGTATTTCTTTGACACAATTATCTACAGGAGTAAAAAGACTGATGTCTGCTAAAAAGCCACATGCACTACATGAGCGTGACCATAGTACTCACAATCACGATTATCATAGCATTTATGTGCATGCCCATGACCACAGCCCTCAAATCAACATAACTTGTGATATAAAGAAGCGACGAACTATGGAAGCTTATGATCGCTTTGTAAATCTCGAAGGTTCAACTTCAAAAGTCATGGTAAATATTACTAGTTTTAAAAGTAGAATTAACAAAATTTGAATAAACATTTAACAAAAACATAGTTGCATACTCCGCGTCAAAGATTGACGTCGGATGGTTATGCCAAGAATACAGCGACGTTTTATATTCACTATTTGCTGTTCTTCAGTAAGAACGGCTTAGATCGAATAGAACTATCGGCAAATTTGAACATCAGTTTTTATGGTTATCCTATCTATATGTTAATGGCTCGTGGTTGGATATTATTTAGAACAACTTAAATGGATTTATAACGATGATGGAAATTAATGAAAATGAATTAAATCGGCAATAAATATACATGAAAATAACTTTCATAACAGGTTATAAAAATGATGGTTCTATGTACAGATAATATATATGTTCACGTAATCTTCTATATCTTACTGCTTTCTTTGTTGAGAAAGTTAACAAGAGATACCAGTGCTTTGCTTTTTTTCCCCTTATACATAATTGATTTCAATCACCACTGACATGCATGTTAGCATAAATTCTTAATGTGAGTATATTTTAAATGTTTGATCTAAATATCTGTATGTTGCAGCCATGTTTGAGGAAGAGTGACATAAGAACTCTGTTCCATCATAAAGAGGACATCACCATGAATGCATTTCTTGATATGTGTCCTGTCATATTGCACCAGCTGGTCAGTGGTGCGTGCTTAAATGAGTCAAGTGTTCAACAACAACAACAACCGACAACTACTGAAAGTAGGTCAACTTCGCTGATTTTATTTCCTTACACTAACACTATAGGTATGGACAATAAGAAAATATATAGAAAGTGTAACAGTGTCCGCTAACAAAAGTGTATTTGATGTACCCATCGACACCGTGCATGTCGCGTTGAAATATCTTCAAATAGTTCAATATGAATGCCTCCCTTTATATACACCATTGCAAATGATTTAATCATAGCAATGTATAAAGTCTATCCAAAAAGTTAATATAGAGACGACCAATGCTTCAACGCTAAATAAGTTATATGAACGAGTCAGAGACATAAAAAATTCATAGATTCCTTGTTTAATTCACATGGTATAAGTTCTTTTATTTTGACAATTGAAAAATGATATTGTTTACTCCGTCTTATTGCACATACATGAAATATCATTAATATTTGTAATAAAACGATTGATATCAGAATGCATTTGAGCAAAATACATTTTCGTTTTGGATCTCATTCAATACCAGCGAAATTTCTTTTTGTCGTCATAGAATACGGATTGGGAACTCTCTGCGTATTTATCATCAGTCTATGTTCATTCGCCGGGGCAGTGTTCGTCAAGTGTGCTCACAATATTAACCGAATGTACGTCATGGCGGGTCTGATAGCTCTCTCGGTTGGCTGTCTCCTTGGTGACGCAATCATCCATCTTTTACCTCATGTAAGTGAAATCTCATGCTGCATCAGTTTTTTAAAGCAGGTATTGATCATACGCGGATGATACATTTTTATATTTCCAAAAGAAGAAATTCTGGCTAAGCATGCTTCAGTATTAGAATCATTTATATTAAGAAGCAAAACATGCATACCCTTCAGGAAAACCTGGTCTTATTGTACTTGTACTTTCGTTTGTTCATATTTGCCCAGGGTTATTGAATTTAAGTTTGGATTATGATTACGTTTGCAAACCATTGACCAATCGTACATTCACCACGTCTGTCTCGCTTCAACTAAACTAGAGTAAGAAGTATTGGCTACGCCTTTCGTATGAGTAAACTCTTTTACGAAATCGAGTTTGTCATCAACAGCTTATTGCTTGGAAAACTCTAGCTTGGTGCGCTTGTATATAACTGTGTATGTGCAAAATTCCGTACAACATTGTTTTTGTACGATAGGTCAGAGCTCAAAGTTTATTTTACTTCCATCCCTTAACAAACAATACATATACAATGTTTCTTGCAGAAAATAGCCATCACGCTTCTTCTGCAATTTTTATATGCTTTTTCCTTTTAATCAACAGGTCCTTGAGGAAGGTCACCATTCAGGACACTCTGAATCTCACGGTGACAGCCTTTACAAGATGTGTGGAGCGTTGGCTAGCGTGTACTGCTTCTTCCTTTTGGAGTTGTTTTTCAGTCACTCCCATAGCCCGAAAAAGGCCCCTGACATGAACATAGAAGTAAGAAATCACTATTAAAACATCATCGTCTTTTGTTCTTGCTTGTCTATTCTATTTTGGTGTTGGGTGAAAGCGGCCCTGTTTTGACTCGTCTTTTGTTCTTTTCTATACTATTTTTGATGATTAGTGAGAGAGGCCCCTTTTCGTTACATCTATTGTACTGTACAATTGCATATTTCTTTTGCTGGTATTTCACTTTTGTGAGCAAATAATTCAGGAGTAATAAACAAAGATTATTGGAAGGTTTTCATATTTTGTTTCCGGAAATTCGAAAGCTACGAACTTGTTGGTTTACAGTATTTCATTGGGTCTTTTGATTATAAGTTTATTGCAAATCATATTTCATTAGAAATGCCGCTATCAGAACACACAATTTACCAATTTGAAATGATTAAATAGCTCATTTTCTTTACAAATGAACCTTTTATCAATACGTATATACATCTATAAAATTTACAAAAAATATCTTTGTCGAAATCTTTGAGGTGAAGGATATTCTCATCTTAAAATCTAATTAACAAGATATATACTACATAATTAGAAGTACATAAAAAGAAATGTTATCATGACGTGGCTTCGTTGCATTAAAAAAAAAACTTCTTCCTTTTTTTATTGATATTTTATCTGACTTGATTGAATTTAACTTCACTTTTAAAATTTGTTCAAGCAAACAATTTTTTTTTTCACTATTACCCGAACACGTGTTTTTATCGATGAAATAATATGATTATATCATCATTAGATATCACGAGATACACAGTCCTGTAATTCTGCGACGTCAGACATTCAGCTGATCAATTTAACTAAGAATAATCTACGGACAGAGGTGAGAAGTTTACAATTACTATTAATAGCATTGTTCAGAACATACCAATGCCATGTACTAATGTTCTTCTAAAGGTATATTACAAAATAAATATAATAAATAGTAAAAAGTTGCGAAATTTATTTGAATTTTAGAAAAAGTGCACCTCCCGAACTAGATTTTAACCATTTTTTAAAACATTTTTTTTTTCTAGATTTAGACCTTTAGTACATGTGAATAGTTGCAAGATATAGTTTGAATTTTTCTTTGTCTCTGCTGTATCTAAGTCTAAATTTGTATTGAAATGTGATATTCACTGCTTTATACAATCACTCAGGCGCTGGTTTTCCTACTTAGATATCTATTGACTTAGATATCTATTGACTATTGGACTAATTTTAACGAGGTGGTTTGTAATATTATGAACAAAATATTCCAATTTTACAGTGTTGTCCGTATCCTTTTAATATTGATCTGAATATCAATCTAATAATATTCTTTTATGTTTTAAAAACACAATTTATTTTCCAGTTAAAGTTTAACATGGTAAATAAATGCGCAGTCAACTCTGTAGTCTAGAAATGAATTGGAAGATCGGGTATTTTCGAATGTGCTATTCACACGAAGTATTAATTTTCACGTAAACATTATACATGTATAGTAAAATCTCAAATAATGATATTAGCGTTATTAACTTTGAAGAATAAAAACCGTCTTTGGCAAAAGGTGTCAACCAACAGCGCAGATGCCCAGCAGGAAGAGGAATCGAAATCACAAAGTAATTTTACTTGCATATATGATATACATGTACACTCTAAAGGTACATATTTCGACCGACGATTACTTCATTGAAGCGATATTCTTAGTATTGCGCTAAATATTATCACAATTATGTGTGCTGTTTTATAGCAATTGTTGCGAATGTGGAAATTTATAACTGCGCTTATCTATCAAGAGCAAATTTTACGCTAAATTTGTACGTTTACTGTAATCTCAATTTTACCTGTCATTCACATTGATTCGGCTGAAAAGAACTGTCTTTCCGATCTTTTATTCTAAGCGTAGATGATAACATAGTATATGCGGACACAGGCAATTACCAATATATTTGGTCTGTAAAGTATGAAAAATTCAACATTTTTCCAGTTACCATCTAACACTGTTTTGTTGCGTTAGTGATCGTTGGTTTACCTTCAATATTGATTTGAGTCAGTATCATTTACTCTTCTGTCTTGATCACTCTCTCCTACTTAGGTTCCGGGTCCCTGAAGTGGATGGTTCTGATCGGTGAGGCGGTACACAATTTTGCAGATGGCATGGCTATTGGTGCATCGTTCGCAGATAGTTTGACAGAAGGTTTGTCGACGTCGCTCGCCGTGTTTTGTCATGAACTTCCGCATGAATTAGGTAAGGGCAATAAAAGTTTGTTCTTAACTGACATAATTTCTAAAAGCACAATGAAAAACTGTTGCAAGAAACGTCAATCACGAACACAACATATATAGAGGAAGATATTAAAAAAAAAAAAAATCGTGAACTCAAACAGGCGTTTGGCATTTAAAAACGGACAAATATGTAACGATACCCTTATTTCAGGTTATTTAGACTTGATTTCTATTCGTGATATCATGTGATCTAAGTTGACATTTACAGGAGTTCTGTTTATGGTTCATCTGGCGGATGTTTTGTAAAGTGACAAATACCATTATACAAAAGACATGTATCAGCTGTGTCAGCTAAGGGTACATAAGAGATTCAATGAGAAAGCTATTTTTATACTTCTTTATCTGTTCGTGTTCAATCTAATTTTTGAGAATCATCCAATCAAGGAATGCAGATATTTTTAAGATGTACTGTAAGAAACAATGAATATTTATTAGTAAGATCAGGTACTTTTGATATATCTATGGCTAGGTATTATGTTGAACATAATCCAGTACGAATTGATGAATGCATAAAACATTGGTTACTATCTTTTATATGGAAGTAATTAAGTGCGATTGGTCCAGCAGAACTTCAAATATTGTGCAATCAAAACTACGTTTTATGGGACACAATATTGGGCCATAATGAAAGTTTTGTTATGGAACATTTTTGTGAAATTACGCTTGTAGGAGATGTAGTTCAGGTTGGGAATGTATTAATTTCATAATTAGTGAGTGTTATTAAGTAGCACAAACAAAATGGTATTTTTAGAATGAATTTACATCAGTAAGTGATTCGATAATCCGAATTATCCTCCAATTATGTGACTCAAAAATGGTCACCGATTAGTTAATACAGATATACCAATTTTTTGTTTATTTATTTCCTGTAAAGGGAGACTGTTTTGCGTTGTGTGAAGCTTTGTCGATTTTTTTCACACAATTCATAACAGGCTATTCATGGTTTACTGTCAATCCATAGTAGACAACATATCAACATCGCCTAACAGAATCCCTTACTAAATATTTTTATCACTTTTTCTGGTATCTTTGTTTACCCAGGAGATTTTGCTGTTTTGTTGTCGACCGGGATGTCGATAAGGAAGGCCCTCATGTTAAACTTCGTTTCCAGTCTGACAGCATTCATCGGTCTATACATAGGCCTCACAATAGGCTCAAACGACGAGGCAAGGTTGTGGACTCTCTCATTCGGAGCTGGAATGTTTGTCTACGTAGCACTAACAACACTGGTACAAAATCATCTTTGCATGTATCTTTAGAACATATCTCTGTCAATTAGACGTTTAAAAACATATATGTTGATGAAAATTATGGGGAGGATTTGTGGTTGGCATAATATTGAGAAGGATTCCATGTCTTTGTGCGATATGAAGCTTTACGTGTTTGATGCTCGTTAGTTTGCTAGTTGGTTTCGTTGTTGTATACCTTGTTCTCAGAACGCGACTTTACTTGCATAGATTGATCAAGGTTTACATGGCAGGTGTCGTCGGTGAAGCAGAGGACGTTTACTCTTCCGGAACATCTGATTTAATTCTACTTAAACTTTTCATGAGTCTTTTATTAATCGTTTGTATTTTTTTTTTTTTAATTTTTTGAGTTTGAATTATGTTTATATTGACATGTTGGTATTTTCTTAAAGTATTTTGATGTAAGTAGAAATGCTGGGGTGTTTTGGTAACATTAAAAAACTCGTTCACCAAGAAATGTTTTTTGAATTTTTGCCTATCTATTGCTAAGTAATGCGAGAATATGGTGTTTACAAAAAAAACCCAGACTGCTATGGCACAGTATTTGTATCGACTCATGAGGAGGTTTTAACCCTTCGGTTATGGAAATCATTAACTCCATTAATGTTTTGATCGTTATTGTTAATCCGTTTCTAAGACACTACCAGAATAAATCTTTAATAAGGCAAGACAAACAGGCTATTAGATATATTTTCCTTTTTGACATTTTAAACACCATGTTATAGATTCCAATTAATTATAGTACATTAATTTACATTAATAAACTATTAGATAAATACTTACATTAATGCTAGATATATTTATATGCTGTTATATGTCAAGTGATGTCACCTCTATCTTTCAGATGCCAGAGCTCGTCGACTATTTTAATTGTTATACAAACTTCAAAATGTTTCTCTCCCTGAACATTGGACTACTTCTGGGATTTGTGTTGATGCTCCTCTTAGCAATCTTTGAGAACGATATAAGACTGATGTTGTAATTTTACCGTATTAATTGTGTCAAGTGTTTATATTTTTATGTGATTTTGAAAATGAAACTCCAGAATTATATAGCATCAAAGTATGCATTTCTGCTACTACATTGAGGAATATTCGCAATTGTTGCTTGCGAGTCTCTATGTTGCAACTATAACATATTGTTTAAAGGTCATAATAAATGGACTTAAAAATCTTTTAATATTAAAATCTTGTTTAATTTGGAATTAAACATTATGTATTTTACCAATGATATAACATAAGTGAATACTGATATGAAAAAAAACGTAAATCAAACTACAACTTGATGTAACGCATGCACAACATGAACAGGACATTTACACAGAGATCCTTTAAAGGAAAAAAATGTAAGGTTTTCCAAAAGGATAAGCGTCTTCGGCTTCATCGACGAAACCCGCCATTTCTTGGTCATTTCAAGTAAGTGATGTATTATACTTGTGAATACGTTAACACAAATAAATAACTTGAATTCATGCTGCATAAATGAAATATAAAAGAGATCCTTTACATCACGTGTCCTTTAATACATGGTTATAAACTACTAAATGAGTTTTCTAAACTTTGCATATGTACAGGGCGGGTGCTCGGGGGCAATATTGCAGAAGAAGATTGCATTTTGAAATAAACTGAATTGATAATTGAATGAGATATGTTAATGGATATTACTATATTAACGTCACCTTTGACTGGTCTTCTACAGACGATATTTTCCTTACAAATATAACTCAATAACATATAACTTACTATCATGAAGAAAAGAGAGATTTACACGGAGACTCTCAAAAATGTACACGGAGAACATGTCTACTGGAGTAAACATATCATTTATAAATACGTAACCCATTTATAGGCGGTCTTGAAGGAACTCGGAAGATAAAAAATGTTTTTTCTCACAAATGAATGTACTTTAAGATGTGTATTTTTCTTCCCTTGCAGGAAACCCAGAGATGCCCTACGCCATCAATACCCATACCAAGAGGATGTTCTATCCCATGAGACAAATCCAGTAGACACCTCAAGCCTTTGCCGTCTACCGGCAGGATATATACCTTGTTGGCATCCCGTGATGACACAATGAGCGATCCATGAGTGTCCGAAGTTAAACAAGATGGCAGAAATTCTTCTTTACTGTCAAAGCTCTGGCCTGTCCATGTGTACATGTGTGTTCCTTTGCTATCCACACAAACAACTTTGGTCGCGCCATCGCGTACAAACATTTTTCCATTGCTGGTGCATGAAACACTATAGGGATCAATGAACAAAGGGGTCTTGTCCTCGCGAGTGTCAAAGTATTGTAGAACCTCTCCATCGATGCTAATTGTTACTAATCGTGCCGGTCCATTAGTTCCAACCAAAGGCCGGATGCAAACAATGGTGTGGCCGTCCGGCTTTACGGAAATCCCTAACGGCTGATATCCTGGGAAATTCCCCGCTAGGCTAAGCTCTCCATTGGAAGATATTGCATGTATATGCGCACTATGATCAACAGTAAGCAACATGCGGCCTTTATTGTTGATAACAAAGTCCCATATCCTATGAACAAAATCAGGCGTTGTTGTCAGACGTGCTCCTTTTTTGTTGATAAGAGTAAGATGTTTATCCCCATACGAATTCACCCAAGCTCTCTCACCTGATATCGGCCAAATTTTGGAAATTTCACCCAGTTTTCTTGAGGTTTTAAAAGTCATTAATATTTGTGCTTGACCGTAGTAAGGCACTTTACCGAACGATCTCGGTTTTTCTTGTCTTTCCTCATGGACAGGATCTTTGAACAGATAATCATAGTTTATCCGATTAAGGCGAACTTTTCCATTGTCTGTTATCACCACATCCGGGTCGATTTCTTTATGTTTTCGTGCCCTTCTTTTTTTCCCAAATATTGTATCGTATTGCAAATCGTCTATCTTCGTCTTTCCGTAATGTGTTATATTTGGTTGTTTATCTTGAGACTTTTCCACGGGAGGATAAAAAGTGTTGTATGAAGTCTTAGGTTTCGGTGGAATTATGATTCTGCGTGCCATGCCTTCAGTGAAGATGATATATTGTGAAAAAGTCTTGAGGATGTAACATCAGGTTCGTTTCCTAAAGAACATGAAGACGTTATGTAAGAAGATATCTCATATAAATTACTAGATTTGAAAGGATTTGTTTCGACACGGAACAGAACAGAGCTTTCCAGTAGCAAAATCTGCAGAACGAATCAGATAAATCTCCAATTTAAACCAGTGGAAAGAAAAATCTTATTCTCTCATCCATGTGGCGATATCATCAAATGTTGAAAGAAAGGGAATAAAATTCATTGCAAATCAGCAGGGATCAAAGGCAAAGGCACCGCGTCAGTGTTTGTCTGGTGTTAAAATACCAAGTTGGAAATCAAATCAGGATGAAAGTCATCAAAGTTCGCCATGTAAAACCTCGTGGGTAATGAAATTGTATATGGCGAACCAAGAATATTTCAAGGACGAAGCACCTGCTAAATGGTAATTTGTGTAACACTTGACCCATCATTTTATAATATCAATGACAGGATAACGTTAAAAAATATAAATCAGATAACAGTAAGAGGATTTTAAAGGAGGATTGCCAATTATACGCCTGATGTTTTGCAGGAAGATACTTTATGGCCAGCTGCATATAGTGTGTTAACGGCACCCCTGCTGCCGAGTACTTGGTATTGCAGGTCTCAAAGTCACGGTTCTCGTACAAGATATAGATAACAGATGAATAAATATACAATTACGCAATCATTTTAGCAGTTAAACGATATACAATATTTTGTATAGTTATTCTAATATTACCAATTGAAATTGGAAATTAAAAGTACGACATACTTTAGAACATAATTGTGTGTCTTGATCTTCATACAGGGATACCAGAAATGTCAAATTTCCACCAAGCTGTATAATCAGCGTTATAATTGTAATTCCCGTTACTTGGCATTGTCTGTTTCTTTGATAATAACAGTCATGTTTCCACGGCCTGTGTTTTCTATTGACAGATAAACAAATAACATAGGGTTTCGATGAATGTATGTTGACGAAGATTATGAGGAAGTTTAACGGTCGTTATAATGATATCGTGCGATATTTAGTGTGAAGTGGTTAATGCCCCTTATCATACCTCATTCTACTGTTTTTGCTAGCGTTTGGAACGTGATATACCTAACAAATATTTACATGGTGGAAGTGTGCAATGACGTGTGTTCCCTCCCTGCACACTCAGATTAATTATTCTTGTAATTTCTAAGGATGTTTCGTTTATCGTTTTTAATCAAATTTAGTCCTATTACATAGTTAAGATGCTGATGACATGTAGCTTTATTTGTTGTTGCTTCTATTTGTATATTTTACTTTGTAGGCGTTTTGTCTTTTGTCGAAACATTATTTTAACAGGTTTCAGTGACAGAATTTGATGACTGGACCATTTGACAATACATGTATTTGGTGTGAAAGTGATCAGCGAAAAAATAAAGATTTCCGTTATATACTCTTATTATTTTTGTCAACGTCATTCTGTTGATCGGAAACTTATTTAACAAGAATCACGAAAACTACAACATTCATTCTATCCGTGATTTTGTAAGGATTTTCAACGTAAAGATTCTCTTACATCTCGTCTCTACTGTGCTGAGTTTGATACCTAGACCCTTTTACTGTGCCAAGGTTTTTACTAAAACCTCTCTACTGTGCCATGTGTGATACCTTAACACCTCTTCTGTGCCTAATTTGTTACCCAAACCCCTCTACTATGCCTAATATGAAACCCAAACCACTCAACTGTGCCTAATTTGTTACCCAAACCCCTCTACCTTTATGCAAAATTCTCCTAAACATCACAAGGAATCTGATGTTCTGGAGGAGCTGACAATATACAGTTGACCCTAAAGTATTTTCCTGCAATAAATATAAACATATTTGTTGTTATGAATGCTTATTCAAACTTATAGAAGGCTCGCCATTAGAAATAATTACGTTTTATATTCACTGGAGAAAATAGTTGTAAAAAGGGTCATTCACCAATATCGGTAACTCATTAATTGTTACAACTTTACTTACCGCATCGGAGATAGGTCTGTGGTCATCTGTGCACCGATATGTGGTCATAGGCATGACAGCAAAATACTAACTTAATGTAAATCAATACTAATATTCCGTGTATTAGTACCGAGCTACGAGTATGTGATTATAATGATTACAAGTTGTGAATGTAAGGAATGACAGAAGGGCAGTAATGATTTTCAATACAACGTCGATATACATTGTATTTTAACCTAATGCATTATCTCATTGAGATACGTGTAATGGCCTGTTGGCGACAGAGACCTCTGAATTTTAAGAGGACTTCTAGACAAATTCAGCAAATTTTTGCGACGTATGTGCAACTGTTTAACCATTCATGCCGTTATGCAGTCATTTGTTTAATATGCTAATGACTAGCGACCAGCCGACTTTTCAGCAGGTCGTCGCTGTTGATTTAAATAACAAGTGACAGTGATCTAGGGGGCGACCTTGTTCTTCTGGAGACTCGTTTACTTACATAAAGTACAAAAAGACTGGATATATCAGGATAAGTTAATAGGTTTGTCACATAACATCGCCGTTCATTCGCCGCTGGGCTTTTGTATATATGTTAATTTATTTATTTCCGAATTTATTATATTTTTTTGTCGCGAAATAATTCCAGGCAGGCTGGTTAATAAGAAGTTAAGGATATCGATTCTAACGATTTAGAAAATGATTTACGGCTTCATTGAGACTAAAAGACGAATTAGATAACTGGGTATACTAACTTTAACCCTGTCTGTTCTTGGTTATTCCAACTAATCATATTACCTTTTTTATCTTAATAGCACGTATATTTATTTCCAAATGATATTCATTTACCGGTTTTAACATATATTTTATTACTTACTTAATGATATATAAAATTTCCCTACGTACGGGGATTTTCTTGAAGAGCAAATATCATATCTTAATCTTGCCCCGTTAACAATTAAGATATTCATGTCAGTTTGGCTTACTAGAGAAATAAGGAGTTATTGTAATACATGGTTTTCTCAGTTTCCTCTTGTATGATATTCAATCTTAGTTCCTGATTTGCAATAAGAAACACGTACGTTTGAAAACATCATACATTGTACGGCACTTTATGACTTCCGTATATTCCCCAATTTAACGTCCATGTACTGTTCGCTGTTATGCTGTTTAGGGGGATCTCGAAAGGGTTTCTTTTAACTACTATTTAATACTCGTTTTGAGACTTATTTTCATGTTATGATCAGAATTGAATAGAAGTTGTACTGATTAAATTTAAACAGAATAACTTATTATCCGAAAAGGTAAAAACCGGATCAATATTTGCTATAGAAAATCACCTATTTAACGTGGTCCGTGTTCAATATCTCCAAAACATGGACTGAAATTTACGATTTTCTCGTTAATACTAATACCGGTTCCGTTCACGATGCTTATCAATTCTATTCGCTAAATAATCTGATCACGAGCTTTACCGACAAATTTGATGGTTTGCTCTTTATGTTGAATTGTCTAGAACGACAGATAAATACGGAGTCGCTTTTCCGTTACATACATAACATTTAATTATCACATGCTAATGGTGAAGAAAGACAATGGTAATTACAAACAAAATTATTGATTAATTATACGTATACTGTCAAATTTCCCTACTATACGTGTATATATAGTATTTTTACCGAGTGTAGAATCCATCTACATTTATCATATACGGCGATTTCCCCCCACCGGACCTCTTCTGGTAAAGAAAGATAACACTCCGGTCTCGTCAATGGATTTAAAGGTTCACCTCACATCGTGACAGATAACGATTGTCTAATCAAGGGTCTTTAAACAGGAAACAATTAAACCTTTATATCAGCGTTGTCATATGTAATTATATTTCTGTCAATGTGTATCATTTGAAATACTACTGGACACAGTTTGTATATAAATAATTTTAGCCTTTAAACTGCTCTATAATCGTACTTCACTGTAGAATAAAATCAATGAAACTGGTGTCATATTTTCCATTCATATTAAACACGAATTATATCCTATTTAGTTAACATTTAAATAACTAAACTTTTAAAGCGTCTATTTGTCTTAACTCTAGCCGAAATACAACTTGTATTTTATAACAATATAAGGAATTCTCTATAAATAGATTCTATTTAATGCTTCATTGGAGATAATTAATGTAAAATACAACTCCATTCCCCTTCACCATTCCACATTTCACACATACATAAGTGCTATACATGGTTAAATACATATCGATCACATGTAATTATACATGATCAATTATTATGAGGTATCTTTAATGATAAAAAGGCATTTTTGTACTGTTATTATAGCCGAAATACCGACAGTCACAAATATTGTCCACAGAATATGCCATGAACCCTCCTTCAAAATAATCTGTTAAAAGACCTTTGCCTGCAGTCCACGCTTCCGCAACAAACTCTGAGAATGACATTGATAACGGGGTGTGCTCTTATACTTTCTCCGGATTTTACTCTTTACATCTGATTTAACCAAATTAATCATTTCATAGAAATACATTAAACGATAGAATTAAACATTCTTAACAATAAGATGCCTCGAAAACGGCTTCTGTTAAGAGATTTTACAAATTCCTGGAAATGATATTATCGTCATTGGCAGCATCACTTATATTGCAAAAACCTTGTTATTAGGGACGGTGTCCTTGACAATGTTTGTGAAAGGCTAGTAAGAAAAGCTATGTTTGTATTCAACAGTTAAATATGCATATTTCAAAATCAAATTATATAATTTGGCAAAGGGAAATCTTTTTCGAAAAAGTAATGAGGACTTTTAGGATAAAGATTATTAGTCAATCAGGAGGCAATTTCTAAGGAAATGGAACTGGGTATTTTCTTCAATGAAGATCATTTATCAAGACTTTGATGTCTGTCTACAAAAGCGTTTCCGATAGATTATCGTAGTATTCTAACACCTTAGTAAACTACTTCCCACGATCATCA